CCTCGGTACGCTTTGGTTCCTCGTCGTTGCCCGTGGTATCCTCGGTTTCGGTATCGGTGGCGAGTACCCGCTCGCGGCGTCGTCGTCGTCGGAAGATGCGACGTCGCCCGCCGACCGCAACCGCCGCGTCGCGCTCACGTTTTCGCTCCAGGGTGTCGGCTTCCTCATTGCCGGCATCATGGGTCTCATCATGGTCAACGTGCTCGACGACACGCCGCAGCAGCTCGAGATCATGTGGCGCGTGCTCTTTGGCATCGGTGTCCTCCCGGCGCTCTTCCTTGTCTACTACCGCATCACGGCCGAAGAGACGCACGTGTATAAGACGATGCTCGCGGAAGAAGTGCACATGAAGAAGATTCGCTGGTCGTTCATCCTCAAGCACTACGGCAAGAGCCTCCTCGGTACGGCTGGCACGTGGTTCCTCTTTGACATTGTGTTTTACGCGCAAAACCTCTTTTCGGCGTCGATTCTCTCGGTGATTGGCGCCAACTCGACGCTCAAGACGATCGCGCTCCAGAACGTGTTGATCTCGCTCGTGGCGCTGCCGGGTTACTACGTCGCGTGCTTTTTCATCAACAAGATGGGCCGCAAGCTCATCCAGCTCCAGGGTCTCACGTGGATGACCATCATCTTCCTCGTGCTCGCCATCTGGTGGGACTCGATCAAGGGCCAGAGCGCGCTCTTCATCATCCTCTTTGGCTTGACGCTCTTCTTCTCCAACTTTGGCCCCAACATGTCGACGTTCGTCATGCCCACGGAAATGTACCCGACGGCCATCAAGAGCTCGTGCCATGGCTTCTCGGCCGCCATGGGCAAGGCGGGTGCCGCCATTGGCTCGTACGGCTTTGCGCACTGGGTGAAGGCGCCCGGCTTTGGCTACGTTGGCACGTGGTACACGTTTGCCGGCATCTGTTTGGCGGCGCTTGTCCTCACGTGGTTCTGCATGTTTGACAACAACGACGGCGACATGTCCAACATCGACAACGAGTTCAAGGCCAAGCTCGCGCTCGAGAACGACGAGACGCGCAAGTCGTTTATCGCTGGCGAGGACGAGCACGAGTTCGAGAAGGACGCGGCGTACGTCAAGGCCTAAGTTAGTAAACGGACCTAGTGTAGTGTCCCACATAGAAATATATACCACCGTGTTGTTGTTCTTTGGTTTGTTGATTTTTGTCAGTTTGCGGAGAGCGAGTGTGGCCGCCGCTGTTGAGACGTTTTTCGAGTCGAAGCTAGGCATGGGTCAATAATACCCATGATGCTAGGGCTATCTTGTGGAGTTGTTGTCGGCGCATGGACCACGAATCATTGCGCGGCTGGCGTATGCGAGACGCTGGTGTCAATTTGTGGGTCTCAATCAGGCGTGTGGCGCGTGTCTAGTTAAGCACGCCGGATTCGCTGTATATCAACCAACTATCAACCCAAGTTCAAGCCCACATCGTTCTTTTCACACGCTCCGTCTCGCCTCACTCAGCTGCTGCCGAGGCTGCACTCCTCGTAGTCGAACCAGTGGTCCTGGTTTTTCTCTTTGCATAACAGTCGACAATACATTGTCTTGAGCTTACGTGTCGGTGCAGCATCGAGTCACAGCTCTGGATGGCGCCCGAAGTATTTCGCGACTTTAACAAAAATCCCGACAGAGACCGCGCGTGCACGACGGCCGCCGACATCTTTTCGTTTGGCGTCGTCGTCACGGAGGTGCACACTTACAACGAGCAGTACGCGGCCCAAGGCAACGCGAGCAACGTCGTTGACATGGTGCACGCCCGCCGCCTCTGCCCCAAACTGCAGCCCAACTGCCCGGCCTCGCTAAAAAAGCTCGTCTGCGTGGCCTACGACCCAACGAAGCGACCGACGGCCCAGGCGATCGTGCGCTACCTTGTCAAGCACATGTTGGAGAACGCTGACGAGCTTGACCGTGATGCGTTTGACGATACCATCAACGACAAGGACGACGATCTGGCACCCGAGCCTATTGTTGTGAACAACCTTCAATCGCCGAGGCAGAGCCGTAGCTTCGCATCGTGCCCTTAAACTACCACACTGCAACGGACGTGGCGCATCACTTCTGCTCGTTGCCGTCGGAATACAAGAGCGAGCAACCGAAGTCCATCGTATTGGCTAGCGACTCTGTACTTTGGTAGACTCATCAATGCAAAGCGCGATGGGTGGAGTGGCACATGCGTGCTGTGTGCAAACTTTATGTTGGGATTGTGCTACGTACTGCTGCCATCATCACGCAAAGCCGCGCACGTTCCAAGCAACAATGCTACGTCAGCCCCGTCGAGTGCCGTAAGCGGGTACGTTATGGCTGGCAGATCCGGCGCAGTTTGAGTATCACAGGTCGTGTCAATACAGCCGACTGGCTTCGGCGAGTAGTATCCGTATTGGGTTAGTGTAATGAAATACTGCAGTGCACCAAATGCGCGTCGTCTCATATCAAGTCTCCGACTAGAAAGAAGACTTAAAGTCAGGCACCCACTCCCAGCGCGATGCGCAAATTTGCGACGATATCACGGATTGTTGAAGCATGGCGTAGACACTAAAGCAAGCTGGTGGTTGAGGGGTTTTTGACTGGCTTGGAAGGGCGGCGGTGGATATGCAATTATCGCCTTCGGTCGCACCCCGTCCATTCAAACACGCCACCTAGGATCCCGACGCGTCCAGTGATGAAATACGCGCTTGATGAGGGAAATTGCAGCAGTCCTTGGTGCGATTTTTACATCGTAGTGCGTGTCAACACCAAAGCTCCCACTCACTCAGTCGTGCGATGTTGTGGTCTCGAACAACACATGTGAAAATGACGACGCCATACGAAACCAGCGGCAACCGTTGATATTCCAACC